ATATGTCACGACACCATGGCCGGCGTAGCCGGGCACCCCTCTCAGAACCGCTGTGTACTGACATATAACATACTACGTTTGAACAAATTTTGTTTCACAAAGGTAAACCATAACAGACATTTAGCCGACTGACCTCTAGACATCTTTATCTGTATCTCTAGTTTTATAAATAATAGTTGTCTCAAAAGTCCGGGGGAATGTAAATATACTCTGTACTTATATGTACAATAAGTCCCATGAAATAGTACAAGCAGGTCGTAGTTCGTACATTTATGTTGTCACAACTTTTGTGTAAAGCGTATACCATAGGTTATATATAAGTCTATAAGTTAAGTTTATATATGTTAAAATAGAAAGTATTCCAAAAAATAAAAAGTGACTAGCCAAAATGAAAAAAAATTAAAGGATATATTAAATCACTCCTCAAATGGAAAAATTGTTCAAACTCGGTAATTTTAAACAAATATCAATTACTATTATTTTTAACTATAACTTGACTTCTATTATAGGTACATCCACCTTTAAGAAATTAATAGTTTTTTTGCATTTCACTGTTTTGGGTGTAATTTTTGGGCTTTAAACCTGACAATTAACCGAGGCGATTTTGAATTTAGATTCTATTATTTTAATGTTATAGGCCCTATAATATAGGGTAATGATACTGCCGAATTATTTACGGCGATAATAAGTCCGAAAATATTGTCACTGAACGTGTTTTAGCTGACACTTCTGTGCCGGATGCACTGTATCGGAAGCACGACAAAAGGTCGCCCGACAAAACGCCGCCGGACAAAAAATCGACAAAACGTCGCCGGATAAAAAATCGACAAAACGCCGCCGGACAAATCGCCGCCCCTAAAAAAACTGCCTCTCAGTAATGCCAACACTGACAATACTTGTATACAATATACGATTATTAAAGGTGTTAGTTGTGCTGCCAGCATGACATATTATTAAGGAGTAATTATTAGCTAACGACTCAAACGAGGCTGTTTTTAAAAAATATTTCCAGATGGCATTTTGAAAGAGACAAAAAGTCCGAACGTATATTTTTCACCACCAAAAAAACGATATTTTATTATCTCTAGAAAACTGTTTACCTATTATTGAACTGTTATCTTTGTTTATTTTATAAATGCGTGTAGGTATCACCTATAATCTATATATTTTTTAGTACGTATTGCAAAGTGTATAGGTACAAAATGGAAGTTAATGTTTTAAAGTTGCCGCGCCAGTTGAATTACCTGCCAAATATACCTTCTTAGGGACGAAAGTATACGCAGCCCTGTTTTACTTCGTATATTTATTATTCTTTATCAGTATTAAGTAAAATAATATTATTATTTATTAAAAAATGGTCTTAACAATGGCGGTTCTAAAAAAAAATATGAAATAACATTTAACCACTTTTTGTATCCATTGCATTTTTTTTATAAATATATTCATTTAAATGTTTGTTATGCGGGCCTAGGGCTCCAAGGTGACCAAAGTAAATAAGTTGAAGCAACACTCGTTTCCGTATGAATTAGAATTGATTTAATAGAATTAACGCAACAAAAATAATGTTAGTTACACGATAGACATAGAATAACATTAAACAACAATATTAAATAGTATGGTTTAACTTAAGATGTAGGACTAAGACGTAGAACAACGCAAGTGAATAGTAGAATTACGACCAGTGTTGGGAAAAGATAACTATAAAGTTATCTAGATAAGATAACGGATAATTGAGTAATATATCATCTAGATAAGATATTAAATTATTCATTTAACATTTATTTAGCTAAAAGAAAAAGATAAATACAATTTTATCTAGATGAAAAATAGATAAATTAAATTTTAACCTCCATAAAATGTTATACGAAAATGTATGAGTGAAACAAAGTATTTTCACAGATTACAAAATAATTTTATAACCAATAAGACGTAGGTACTAAGAAATGGACAGTTACGTCAAAGAGCAAATTTTCCTTATATTCGATTTCGTGATTTATGGCTACTCTGTTCATTTGTCATTTATTATTTTCATGTACTCTGTTTATGTCATCTTTTATGTAGGCAACAGTAATAGTATAAATAGGTATAAAAAGTAAATACGAGTTTATCAAACTCGATAATCGATGACCGGACATTTCATTATCAGTTGAAACTATTTTTAAACATATTGTTATTTTTTGAGGCTTAACTATCGTTTTGGCCACATACGGTCTACGGACTACGGAGAGCCCACATTATGTTTAAAATGTTTATTACAAGGTTTTGTTATTTTATTTTGATTGAAAATACAAATAACTTTTTGGAAACGGCTCATTGTTTATTGGACTTGTATTACTATTTACTATTTTACTTTTATAGTCTTTACTCTTTACCCTATATGTAGTTACTGATACAGGACTCGCCTGACATGTATATATAACTCTTATCTACTTCTACCTATTAAAAATAGGTAAAAAACGTTTTGTATATTGGGGTTGGCTTGTTAGACAAGTCCAATATTCCATTGTAATCCAATGTATTTTAGTCGATTATACAAAACGTATCAATTCTAGTTTAAGTACTAATGATAACCGAAAAAGGAACTTTTTTAAATTATTAAAGTTTTCAAATTATCAACATTATACATACATTACACATTTGACACTACAGTAACTCTTTGGTATTACTAGGCAATCCCATTCATCCCTTTTGAGCTACTATATACACCATTACACTTCCTTTGCTTTACAGCGTAATCGTTAAAGCTGATAGAATTAAATTCCGATAGTGAATATACAGTAGTACAGTGGATATAAAAAAGTAATATAATATATTTTATTTATTTTGTAAAATATTTCAAGATTATCCTATTATACAAAGAAGTATTTTATTGGGAGGCTATAAAAAAGCCGAAAATATTTTAGCCGTAAGTATTTGGTCCAACCATAATTTTACCGAAAATTATTATAACTGAAAAACATTAACGCCGAAAATAATAGTTCCGAAAATATTTTCATCGAACAATTTTTAAGCCGAAACATGTATTAACCGAAAATATTGAAACCGAAAAGATTCACGCCGAAAATAATATCGCCGACCGTATTTTAGCCGACACTTCTGTGTCGGGCGCATTGTGTCTGCGCATGCGCGTTATTTTGCCGACCAGTGCCGATCCACCGGTGACCGGCCACCGCGTCCGCGGTATGTTTATTCTTCTACCTGCAGTGGTACCGTACAATGACTTGCTTATTCTGGTTTTTTTTTAATTATTTATTTATTTTTTTTTAATATTTTTATATTTATTAGTTGGGAAAAATTTAATATATTTTTAGTCACTCGACTAATCTGTTTTTTCCCTAGTTCGAGCGCATAAAAGATACAATACGTCAATACAAATAATTTGATACCAAAATCTAATTTTCAAAAATAAATTTACATTGATCTTTTTTCCCGCAGCCCTTTATATTAATATATATGTATATCTAATAATCTTAAATGTTGTAAAAAAAGTACTTAATAGGTATAATAGATAAATAAAAATAAAAATTAAACAAAATAGGGTACTTTATAATGTAAGTGATAGTGAGTAATATTAATAAGGTAACAAAACAATTTATTTGGTATTAGAAAGTTCTAGCTCCTCCAGCCATTTAATAAATGTGGGAGGGGTTGTGAGACAGTCGATTATGGGTCCTCTATATTGTAGCAACCCTGTAGCCCTGTACGTATGTATTGCAGGCTGTTTGAGTGTTGTTACAATCGTGGTGATAGGTTTTTAGATATTTAATAGAATAACTTCAGAGTAAATCACAAACATTTAATTTAATATACTTATAAAACATGTACAACGACAAACAGTTAATAGCATAAGTTCAGTATGCTTCAAAAATATGATGATTAAGACAATTATGAGCCGCTTAAGACTTCAAAAGAAGATGATAGGTAGAATCTTCAAGTGTAGTGTATGGTGGTCCCAGCACATCTGCCCTGCTATGACTGAAGTTCTCCCTTATATGTTGGTCCGCTCGCTGAATGGCCGTGGGAATCCTCGCAATTATCGAAAGTCCGCGTGTGGATGACCTCGCTCGTCCATGGCATCCGCTTATGTCAACGGTGGAGGAAGGGTAGAGGCATGAGAGTGCAGCCTTCGCATGGTCGAAATTGGCTAGCTTCGATGTGAGATTCGCACGGTAGTTGCCAAAACGTTAAGTTTCTCTTAGTGGTTGGCCTCGTGTTTGAGGTCAACTGTGAACAGAATTGCAAGTTGTCTGCTTTCGCAAGATGCTGTAATGACCTTTTGGGTCTGATGTGAAATCGGCACGTGTGGTACATAATAATGAGAAGTTATATAACATAATATATATATATATATGTATATGTTAGTCCTGATAAGTTGTACAATGTAATAAATATATATATGTATCTATTAGCCTTGATAAGGGTGGGTCCGTTACAATATTGATGTCTTGTTCCCTGAGGATTCGGGAGATGCAGTCACTTTTTGATCTGCTAATACCTTCAATATTGATTTGGCAAATGCGTAGGGTAGACCCTAGCTTTCTTAGGTGGCCTGAGAATCTTTCGATTCGATTGTGTTCGGTTTGGTTGCATGTAATCAGGCCAGGAAAACGTTATAAATGATAGTTTGGCCACTGAGTTAATAGATCTTTAGCCGTTCGTCTTGAGAAGATGAACGTTGCCCAGAAGGTACCACGAGGAGGCGATCTATCACAACCCCCTATTTTTACAATTTACAATATTTACGCTATTTACACTTATTATTTACAGAATTAATTTTATATACAAAATAATATTTACACAATATGATGCTAGTCAAAAATTCTGACAATCATATAGATGTCAGAATTGCAAATGGGACAACGCCCTCTGCCCCTCACATCCTCACCGTAATCGTGGCATAAACATTTGTGCCACACGGAATGCAAGCATGTATGTTAGTGGCTGCCAAGCAAATGCCACAACTGTTTATTTGTCGCGGTGTTATATCCTCATTCAAATTAGCCGAAACGAATGGAATATTATCTTGCTCCCTTCTCAAACGTTGTCCTTCCATTTGCCCGATAAACGCGAGAACTTCGTCGTCGTCCTCGGGTATGTGATAGTCATCATTAACTATTAACACAAATAAATAAAAATATAAACGGATTATCAACAATAATATTAATGGTCATAAAAATTATTATTAATATGATATGGACAAAATATATTTTTACAGAGTATCCTTTTTTATTATTTAGGTGTACGAGTCATTTTATTAGTTTTTTTTTTAAATTTAAATATTGCATGTTTAATATTTCCTTTTTCTTATATATAATATAATGTATTGCCATTAAGAAATATGTTGTATACTATTATAATTGTTAACAAATTGTTTTTAATATTTCTGTTCAGAGCCTTACTGAGAAGAATGGCGTTATTATCTTGGACAGCTTGAACAGCCGGAGCAGCCTCAACAACAAAAGCAGCCTCAACTACAGGAGCAGCCTCAACTACAGGATCGGCAGCTTCAACAACGGGAGCATTTTGCTCCTCACCATCTCCCAATTCTAAATTGTAAGTTAAAATAAAACAACTTTATTTATAACCTGTTATATTCCTTATTAAAAAAATTTAGTTTATTAAGGTTATATTTTTAATTGTAGCATAACGGGCCACGAAGGCCCAACGTGCAATCATGAGATGATTTCTTGATGAATTCGCTATCCGGGACGGATCGTCAGTCCGTCGCCTGAGAGGAGGATGGTATTTTACCGGACGGTTGCTCGCCTGGCAGTCTTTATTTAGTACTATTGTCGGTATACCTATGTTATAGGCCAAGTGGCCTGTGTAGGAGAGAAATTCCTTAACAGTAAGGCAGCCTTGATCCAGCCTTTCAGTCGGCGCTCTTATGTTCTGTCCTGCTGCACATATAGTGGACGACGTGGCCTTAAGGTGGGGCGCTCCAACTGCTGTTGATATTTTTGGCTATAAATACCCTCAATTTTCAGGAGTACCTCTGTAATTAAAAAAAAAAAAAATATTTCTATAACTAATTAACTATTTTGTAGCAAGTATTTCGATTTACTTGTAAAATTCCAAATTCCCGGTCTTTGTTGTATTCATTTGTTGGTTTAAAATTCTGTGAAAGACCTCCTGATCATTGTTTGTCCTCCTGGCCTGTCCGTAACGCTAAATTCTGCGCACCGGTTCCTATAGTAAGTATTATACAATGAGATAATAAAAGAAAATTTTTTGTAAAAAATAATATTTTTTTGCTTAGTTTTTTTTAACCCCAGAGCATTTCATATACATAAAAATAAATTCAGTATTTTGGAGTCGAGAGCGTTTTAAGTTTATAGCTGTGATTGCCGGAGAGATGGCGGCTTCTTTTAACCAAACGATTTTTTGCCCGGCAACAGTGAGTGCCAAACACACTAATGCCTTACCCACTCTGCCATTTCCTCTCCACTATGTACAAAGGTAAATTAATTATTTTTTAAATAACTATTTTCTCATTTTTGAGGATATATTAGGTATTTTTTGTAATAATTAACTATTTATTATTATCAAGCATTTTTATTTCATATAGATGTACGCATTTCACTTTTATGTTAGTATTGAGAGAAAATCAAACAAAATCAAATTGTTTTTTTCTTTTGTTAGTATTACAACTGGGGGAGGGGGAGGCTTCTGTACAATAATTATGAATCTTATTAATTTAGGTAAATTTAATGAATATTATATCCATAATAATACAAAGTGATTTGAAAAACTGTTTTCTAAGGTTTGCAGTACTAAGCACTTACGGTTCATCCACTGGTTCTCGAAGTAATTAATATATCGACGAGCTATTTGTTCGTTTTCCGCGTGACTACTCTCTTCTTTGATCAGGTTAAAACCCTCGGCTATGTGCTCGACCGGTAAAAGGGCCAGAGCCTTCGACATGCGGAACATGTTATGCAATGCCAAGTCGTTACGATATTCACGTCGCCGCATGCCAAACTCTTTACCATTTTTCTAAAGTGCCTATAAATTACCATAAACATTTTTAAATGGCAACATACGATGCTATATTTTATAGCACCAGAAATAATGAGAGAATTATTAAAAACATTTTTCATACTTGCACCATGTGGAACCAACAGCGCTGCAGGTTGGCAGCTGGCAGAGTATTCCTCAGTGCATTGGTTAATGCGGTTTCATAGTCAGTAATGATGTTTGTTGCTTGAATACCGCCTGGAATAAGATCCCTTACGTATTCAAGCACGCACCGGTACGCGATCTCGGTCTTCCTTGTCATCAACACAAATGCAACCGGAAAAGCCTAAGTAAACGTATAAATAAAAATGTTAATCGTAAACTCATAAAAATCGTTTTTTAAATTTATTAAATATTTTCTATTACCTGATCCATGTAAATGGTCATAATAATTAAAACTTGTTCAGTTTGAGGCTGAATAGGCCTCGATTTGAACGTGCCATCTACATGTAATTCATGTGAACTGCCTAATAAACTAAAATTACATTTAAGCTATAATATTGTCTATAAAAAAAATCATCTAGGTAAGCAATTATATATTCTAATTTGTGAAGATTGGTATTAAAACTATTTGCTATTGGACTGATATTAAATATGCTGCTGTACTTGTCCACAAAATATTACAAGCAGCTATCTGAGCGCACAGTAGTGTGCTAGGCCAAGTTTCAGTAATGCCAGTTTATCTTTAAACGAACCAATTCACCCAGTTTTTCTAACTCACATGTCTCTGATTCCTCCTAAGATAAGCTTTTGAAATGTAAATATCACTACTTTGATATTTAGTCTTGGAACTTGGCCAATTTTCTCTGTTAGGTTTTTGTTGGAGATAATTCATAATAGTTAATTGAAAGAAATTAATTTATACAAATTTTAATCGTTTTTCTTTAAAATAAGTTATATTTTTTTTTTTAAATACTTAAGAAATATGTTTTTGGGATCAAAGGCAATGTTTTCTTTGTAACACATATTTTTTCATTGTTAATTAAATGATTACTTCATCATTGCAGGCGAAATGAAAACCACTGCTTCGCCAGCTTCTACACCTCCATCTATGTAGCCCCTGTACAACTCCTCGTTGCTAGACGTTAAAAATAGATGCCGGTACCTCGGGTCGGACAAATTGCCCGCATATCCCAAGAAAGTCTGGGGTATCGATGGCTGAGCCTCGGCCCTGACCCGTTCCATAGTTCGCAAGAAGCTGGTGTACGCCAATTGAGTGTTAACATGGTTTAATCTAAGTATAGAATATGTAAGTCTTGAACTACTAAATAATTATGCTTATGCTGAGCTGATTGATTTGAGAACTTAATTTTAATATTAAGTGTTCTTATATTTAAAAACGGTAGGACTTTCATTAAGTATTAAATACTTTCTGTTCAATAATAATAAAACAAATTTTGTTTTATTATTATTGAACAGAAAGACTTACGAAATACGTTTATAGGTATACAGTTATTTAGTGTTCTATGAAAATATACTAATAAGATGTATAAAATAACTTTTTAATATGCATTTTAATGACCACAAGCGTTTGCGGGCTTCAATTACAGGGGAGGCAATATATAATGTTATTTTTAAATGTAGTGACATCGGCCCAGTGCAACAATGAATACACGCATGTACGTTCGGTTGCCTATCTCTTTTAGTTACATAGTTACATACAAACATACATACATACAAGTGAAGCTAATATAAGCGTGTTAAAAAAACCTTGTCTTTTTAGTAGTTTGTAAATAATTAATAATGGTAGTCTAAAACTCTTACAACATGCTTAAATTAACCTACTTCTATTAAATTAAGAGGAATATACGGACATTTTTAAATGAACGTAGTTTACAGCATGACTTAGTTTTCAAAAGTGTACTAAGACGTACACCTATTTTATCAATTTACTGATTCAACATAAATACTTAAATTATAATTAACTACGCAATTATTTACGCTTGCTAGATTTTTTAGTTACAAATATATATTATGTAAATAACTTATGGATAAACCAAACGATCACAGATCACTATGCAATAAAATAGGTTTAAGTGAGGCAGCTCAGCTGCCACAGTTGCCTCCGCCTGTGTTTGTGAGGCATCAAGTTTTAAATACAATTAATCAGCTCAGTTTAAATAATGTAATAAATAATGCCGTCATTGATATTAATTTTTAAATTATTATTAAAGGTAGGTATAAATGTGTTATTTCTTCATCATAAATGACTTTAAGACTGGTCAATTCTGTTGAACAACGATGAAGAATTTGGCTTTTTATACGTACAGCGGACAAATATTCCATATCAGGATCATGATTATGAAGTCCGATCACCTCAAATCTATCATTCCTGATAAGTCCTTTATATAATAAAAAAAATTACATTATTGTGTTAAGAAGAGTTTAATGTTATATACTGTTTTCAGCCTTAAGAGGATTAAAAGCGGACTGGTTTTTTCGAAGTTTTAGACCTAGTATCCTGGCAAAATTACGCCTACGTAGAATGTCCAATTTGAATTTTATATAAAAAATGTCAAGTTAATCGTCCTCTTTTCAAGGTTATTGTGTAAATAATTTTATATTTCAATTAAAATTGTGTTTAAATCCTATTTTAATTTCTGAAGTTTTTAGTATCCTTTATATTGTTTTATTAATCCGACTTCCACGGTAACCTAGGGAAAAAGCTCATGAGCCCAAATATTTATACAGAATTAAAATTCAATCATATTAAGTAGGCATAGTTTTGTCAAGATTTTAGGTCTTAAGGGGGGATTACATGCGGTCAATTTTTTCAGTCAAAACATCATTTTTATTCAATTGCATAAGCCAACACGGTGATCCGATAAACAATCTAAAAACAGATTTGAATTCGTCATGAAGTTTACTTAGGATCGTTCAGGGCACACTTTCGGTTTTTAATTTAAACCCTTTACCTTTACCCTTTTAAAATTTGAAATTTTTTATAATATTCAAACGGGTTTTGTACATAGTAGGAATAAGATTTTAAAAAAGTGCCCTGACCGATGAAGTAAACTTCATGGCAAATTCAAATATATTTTCAGATAAATTATCGGATCACTGGTTCAGCCTGTGCGATGGAACAAAATATGTATACTATATTAACTAAAATGGCTTTACTCATAGACATAAAAAATCAAATAAAACGGTTTTTATTTCAAGCCTTTTAAAAGATATTTTTCTAATTAAGTGGAGTATTACCTAATTAAAAAAAATCTTCTGTTGAGTTATACTTAAATGGTACACTGCTTTATTGTGTATTCGTAAAATAAGTACGATTGCGTCTAACTACTAATTGCTTCAGTTTTCCATTTACAATCGGGTTACAAATAATTCATATTGAGAAAAAAGATTAATTTTCTAAAATAATATACAGCAATAAATCATACCTCTCGCAGTGCAGTTGGGTTTTATACAACTTAGTGAGGTAGACGATAGCCTCACTTTCTTTACGCGGTAAAAAAAGCCATCATTACTATGATGTAGCTTACTATTTTTACGAAATCCGTCGACAACTTCGTATTCCATTTTTAACCAACGAAAAGTACAAGAAGAAAAAAAGGACAGATGTGTTGTCTGAGCTCTCGATAAAAACCGAATGAACCCAATGCAAGTATGAACTTGGTTGGTTGGTACTTTTTTTATTTTTTATTTATATATATATATACATATATATATATATAAAAGTAGGTATGTATGTTACACAATCTTTAAACATTAAAACACAAAATGTTAACAAATGGCTAACCAAACACCTTCACTCAATGGCACCTCATTATGAAGCGGAAG